GTTCAAATATTTCAAATATGTTTGTTAAGAACAATATATTTATAACTGACAATAAAAATCAAAGAAGCTATTTGATTTTAAATAACAAATTTAATTCGTATAATTGTAAACTTTAACAATTAATTATGTAATATATAATTATATAAACATATATTTATAATATAATTATCCTTTATTATTATATTTTATTGAAGCCAAGATATTTTCCTTTAATACGTATAATTTTTTAATTCTAATGTAGACTATTAACTCTATACAACGTAGAACTTCGTTACGTTAATCCACCTGGCCTTGATATGCCGAATCATGTCGTTAATTATGTGGCTGAACGTGGTATTTCTCAAGAAAGATTTTCAACTCTGGAAGAAGCTCTACCCGACACCGACGTACTTTATATAACGCGGATACAAAGTGAACGTTTCGCTACGCAAGAACAATATCACAAGGTGAATCGTTACTCGCGCATTGAAATTTTCGTAAGAAAGTACATTCTATAAGCGCTCGTGTTTCTTTTTTTATTACGAAATTTTGTACGAATTAGATTTTTAATAATTAATATTTTTATTCAAAATTATTATATTAATCTATCCAAAATTATATAAAATTATTAATGATTAATGTTTGAAACTAAATTTTACTTCGAATGACGCTTTTACTTATTCAATATTTGCTTTTAAATTAATTTTGACACATTAATTTAAATTTAAAAAAAATCATTATATGTACAACAGATGTGCGGATTCTTCATAGTAACTCCGCAGCTGATGTCTCGTGCGAAGAGGAAGATGGCAGTGATGCATCCTTTACCACGTGTTTTCGAAATAAGCAAAGAATTCGATACTGACCCACGGGCAGCTTACTTTCGGCAGGCGGAAAATGGAGTCTACGTGCGCATGGCATTGCTGGCGATGGTCCTTGGACGCATCTGATCTTGACAACCCATTATTTATGAATCAAAGTTCTGCTGAAGGAAATCAACGATTGCGCTAAGGAAAACACACAACATTTCTTCTATGATGCAACTTGAGAGAGTGAATATCATTTAGGCATTCCAATCGTGCAACTGTGATAATCTTCGGTTACCAACTTCGATTCATCACTGTGTGTATGAATAAAGCTCCGCATTTGGCGTTTATAACGCTCGCAAACATTATTTGTTTGTCAGACAGAAGCTGAATAGATAATTAGATTCGTAAAAGAGTACAAACTAAAGCACGAGACACTGTATATTGCAGTTTTTTTACGAATTTTTAAAAATTTAACAAAGGTTTTCTTGAAGCGATTTCCATTTTTAATTACTTTTTATTAAAGTAATCTAGTAGACATTTTTTACACATATTGATTTTTTACAAAATATATTGAAGAAAAATAGTATATATTGCCACAAAACTTTTTGAAAACTATTTTTCAAGTAATTCGTTAACTTTAATATATAAAAGTATTAACTTTTATAATATTCAAATTTTTTATCGAAAGACCTACAAATAAAACTATAAATTCTAAATTCGATTTCTGAAGTAATTAAGGCATTATCGTTCTAATTTTATAATAATAAACAAATAAAACTGAAACAATAATAATAAAAGAATACAAAGAAAATTTTATGGTATAAAATTTTAAAACGAGCGTTATAAGCGTTAAATAGCGATAGTTTTACACCATAAAATTTTCCCAATTTTGTATATTTCTTTGAACTTTTTATATTAATAATAATAATTAGCAATGTGTATAAAATGCATATAAGAGTTCCATGTAAGATACATACAAAATGCAATATACAACATAAAAATTTATTTTGTATAACAATTTTTCAATTTTTTATATTTTTAAATTGGAGATTTATATCAGAAAATCTGCTAACATATATATTTTTATCGGATGTTTTCAGTATTATATATTACATATTTCAATGTGTGTGTATTACATATATATCAATGTCTTTCAATCTTTTTTAATCTGCGGAACATTAAGTATAACGACACTAATCACATTTAGCAATAATAGTTTGGCACATATACTCACAAAAGTACGTTTTCAAGTGTTCAAATTTTATAACAATGCCAAATTTTATAGATTTGTTATTTGAGTAATTATACTCATCGACAAAAAAAATGGGCAACTAAATTTTAATATTTTAATTTTAAATTTTTAAAATTTTCGAATAGCAATGAAAAATCATTGCATTGAGATGAACCAAAATTTAAATTAAAGCTTGAACATTTCTTTTGATGATTAAGAAAATCAAAATTGAATTAAAATTATTTTATAAAATGACGGATATTGAAGATATACTTTGACAAATAAGACAAAATTTTTTTCTTTAAACTGTTGCACTGCTGAGGAGAATTGACTGCATGGTACAAAAACGTATGAATTTTTAAACTCATTGATTTCCTAACAAATCCGTATTTTCAACATTTTTCTACGATTGTATTGTCCGGAAAGTTCGTGCTGACTAAGCTATATAATTTAATAAATGTATACTAAAATTTAAATCTTCTGCGTCTCAATTTTCCTTCAAAATCGGCACGAACTTTCCGGACAATATATATAATTAAAGATACGAAATTCATACATAAAAAGATAAGAAATATAAATTACATAATTAATTTAAATGCTTACAAATGTCTATAAATAAATATGATAACATTTCTTGAGATTACAAGATTCAAGAATAATAAAAAATTCTTGTGTATTTAATAATGTGAAACATAGAGCGTTAGAAGAGATGTTATTAGTACTATTTCTATCCTTGTTTTTATCTAAATGATGAAGATAGAATGATATCAATAGTATTAATAGCGCCTTCCTAAACGCAATCTATGTTTCACACTAAGAATTTTTTATTATTTTATATATACATAAAATATGAAAATCGTACAATATATGTATGATATACAATGCATGCTATGCATAATTTGCACGCTCGCGTTTAAGTTGGTTATATTTTTAAAAAACGTATACTATTATTAGGATGAATTTAAATTAGAATTAACAATATTAGTATAGTTAATAAAAAATGACAAAACGGATTTATATACAAACAACTTTTAATTACATTTCTAATATTTATATACATAATGTGCAAAATACATGATATTCATTTATAGATAAACATAACTTTCACAGTTGGTTCATAACAATTTAAATAGCACCTTTGGCGTGAAAAACCTTAACGCTGGTAATATATAATTTTATTTGAAAATACTTTAAGTAACTGATATATCCTACAATGTTAGCAACGTAAGTAGAATACAGATACTTTGAGATCACAGTTAAGTTTAGCATAAAATGTTTTACGCGTACGTGTTTTCGTACCTGATCCCCATAAAAGATTCTGTAGTTAAAAATTTTTTACAACCTGACAATATTGAATTGTTTGTTACATTATATAGCTAGAAAACAATAAAGATATCGTACTTCGCGATATTTGACTATAAATATTATCAGTATTATAATTCATTATTCTTATTTAATATTCATCTCAACTATAAAATATTTATGCAGCTATATAACTATTTTAAAAAATAGTATATGTGAGCAAATTTTGATATTGAATTAAATATATGAGAAATTACATTTAGTTCTACACACAAATAATGCTACTAACTTATTACAAAAAATATATATTTTATCACGGAATTTTATAAAATAGTAATTTGATATCAAATTTTTTCATGTATAATTTTACTTTCTTATATTAGCTTTTATTAAAAATATATGATTCTACATTATAAGAAATTAAATGCTAATTGTTTTTAGCAAATGTCGGAAGTTCAGATTTGGTATAATCGCAAATGCGGCTATTTAATACAATTTAATTACATAAATAATAGTTTATAAATCACAGTAAGAAATATGTATGTCATGAATTCTCAGTAAGTAATGTATAGTTTACGTATTCTGCAACAGTTTAAGATAGATTCGTATCAGTAATATTTAAATTTTTATATTTATTTGGATATTTTTATTTAGTATACATTTACGATTTTATTTTATTGTAAACGTGAATGGAATTTATCGAGAGTAAGAAAAGAGCAAGCGATATTACGTATTGAGGATTCGCATACATTGAGCGTGTTCTCCAGTACATCCTATATTTGAGGAACTGCACATTCTGATCAAAATAGAAGCGTAAAGAATACTGCTTATTGATATTGACGTCATCTTATTTTATTAAAAGCCGTATTTTTTCGATAAATAATTTTCGTGACTATTTTATTTATATGTTATCTAAACTAGTTGTCTAATTACACTTATTAAGGAAGATAAGTGTATTACTCATAACTTTAATCCTTTGATATTACTCTCGATATAGCATACTTGATTGTCTCTTATATACATTAAAATTTAAAATTTTTTATTAATAAGGATACTTTACTTGTCGTTATATTCTTTAACATTTGTTGGCGTTTTGATTGGAGAAAAACTCGTTGCAATTATTCATTTTTATACAATATTTTATACAATACCTAGTTCCTTGACAAAACGTATAATGTGATATTAAAAAATTATTAATTATAGTCATCGTGTCTACTATCTTTGAGTTTATTAACTCTGTTTAGAAAATGCGTATTATAAAATCACATATCTTTCATAAATAAGCATATTTCTTTAAAAATAATAACTAAAGAGGAAACACCATAGATTTTTCAAAGATTTTAATCTCCTTTAGCATGATAAATTTATATATAAAAAATAAGTTATATCTACACTTAATGTAGGGTTCTTTTATATAGTAAAAAATACTATTATTGCCTCATTCAATAAAACGCTCAGACACGGCAATTTATTTTTGATGTAGATTTATCATGCTAAAGAAGACCAAAATCTGTGAAGAGTTTACTGTATTTTCTCTCCTTATAAGGGAGAGCTCCAATATACTTCCACATATTAAATATTATAAACTAATCATTAGACCCGCAAATTTTAAATTTTTATAAAGTCTTTATGAAATATCTATTGTAATTCTTACGAATTTTCAATAATTTTTTCGAATATCAAACTATATCATCCCTCTCCTTGGATCCAATAACACCATTGGGATACATATTTGAAGCTAAGGTTTTCATGTCATCTTTTCGGCCTCTTCGTGCAAACGGCAGCATTTTTAGTCTCAGTTTTTTTCTTTTCATAGAATCTTTCTCCCTGCAATAATATCCGTTGTAACGATAAATTAATTAATAATTAATTTCACACACACATTACACACACATACATTATCGTTCAAAATGTTCTTTTTTTGTAACGTGAATATATTATCATTAAGTTTACACCATCTAAATAAGAGAGTTTTCTGTTGCACTTATTAATGAACAATACTTTTGCTGTTATTTGTCAAAATTGTTTAATCAATAAGATGCCAATTTTTTGAAAAAGGATCATTGTTAACGTACTGATGTCTGCAATCTATGAAGATACCCATCGAGAACAGTACCACCATGGCAACGATGATGCCGAACACAACAACTATCAACGTCACAAACGCATCCTCTTCCTCGACTGTAAAGGATGTCTCTGACGTAGGCATGTATGCTGAAAGAATCATTTAAGAAACGTTTGGCAATGCTTTCAAGGCTTTCAAGGACATGTATTTAAAATACTTTTATTTAAAACACATTATTTGTAATGTTGCAAAAATGTATTTTGTATTTTGTACTTCAGCGGAGCACATGAAAATATTACTTTTATTTAAAATCGAAAAATTGAAAGTTCTTTGTATTTTGTAATTCAAATAAGATTAATTGTCAATCTCAGTATTTAAAATACAAAATATAAAATACTTTCAATTTTTCATTAATAATCTAAAATACAAAATACAAAATATTTTTATGTGCTCCGATAAAATATTAAATATAAAATACAATTATTTTACAAATAATATTTTATTTTTCAAATAAGAGTATTTCAAATACATGCACAGTTCATGTTTTGCATTATGCGAGAAAAAATCGTTTGTTTCGTACGAATTTTTGTTTTATCTCATTGTAAATAAATTTTTTGTGGTTGACATAATTATAGATATATTTCCTACTTTATTTTAAATTCTTAATAAAAGATATCACTAGAAAAATAATACTAAGAAAGAATGAAAAAACGAACAGCTCGTATTTATATTAATGAAAATGTGGAATTATGCGCGATGGCAAAGATTGTTCTGTAGATATTTTTTAACTAGCACATTTTATCATATTCATTAGAAAAGAACTGAATGTATCTAGAGACAAGAAAACGTGCCAGTGATGGAACGTCAAGGATCATACAATGACGTGGTACCTGATAAGAGCATCGGGTCTCTTATGCAAACGTGCAATGGACATAAAACATGTGTTCTACGATCGTGTGACATTGATATTTTAAACACAACTAATGATAATTCTATTCGTATAAATTTTTAGAATCAGTCAACTTCAATATACTAAATAATTACATTTTTAATTATACATTTTTATTTTTTTATTTCATACAATTAATATTAAATTTATG